TGAACCATTCTCAGTACCAAATGTCTTAGGCTGGGTTCTCTACAGAAGCAAAACCAGTGAAGTGTAAATATGTATCGATATATGAGAGAGAGAGAGAGAGAGGAGAGGGGGGGAGAGGGGGAGAGAGAGAGAGAGAGAGAGAGAGAGACTGAAGGCGGTGAGAAGCGGTGGCAGAGAAACGGCGCACCAGGGGGGGGTGTGGTGGGCTTCCCGGCCCACAGAGGGCGAGAGCTGAATGTCTTTGGGCAGGAGACTTGCCGCCAGAGTAGGGTTCCTCCAGGCACTTGGTGGAGCTAGGTTTGCCAACCCAAGGAGCTACAGCTAAGCAACTTCTGGCCAAGGCTTACTGGCAGAATTGGGTGCTTCTGGGAGTAGGTTGCCTCTGGGCATTAATCTGCAGAGCTAGAAGAGCTTTCAAACACGTGCCCGAGGAGCACGGCAGAGGCTGAGGGCCAGAGAGAGGCGTGCCACGGAGAGGCTGTCCTGAGGGAAGAACTGTATCCTGAGCGTTCCTGAACCTGAACTGTAATCTGTTACTTCCCTAATAAACCCCATAATCATATTGTCTGTGAGTTCCGTGTGGCCACTGCAATGAATTATCGAATCCAGCAGAGAAGTACAGAGTGCCATGGGAGGGACAGCTGGTGTCAGAATTGGTAAAAAGGTTGGAGGGTGGGGGCATGTCTGACCTCTGCCTCACAGGAATCAAGCCTTGGGCTGTTAGCTTGATTCTCCTTCCCTCTTGGGAAGTTAGAGGAGGTCAGACACCGCCCCCACGTCATTTTTACACCCCTAAAACTCTTAGTATGCCTTGTGGATTTTATTTTGTTAATTTCTTCAGTATTTACTTCAAACTTATTCCTGATCAAGAGAAAGTCCCAAACTGTTAGTCTGAACTGTCTTAGTTGAGATTATACAACTTTGGTTATTACTTTTAGTGTCAATTTCTGAAAGGAGTTATTTCTGGTACAAAATTCGTATCAAATCAAACTGTGGAATATAATTCTACATTCTGTTTTATATATATGATCTGCAACTGAGGCTACTGAGGAACCTAACAGAGGCTGCTAACCTTGAACGGTTTGGTATACTGTTGTTAAAAACACTTAACACACTGAACTGAATTCTGAAGTGATCTTGGTAGCTTATAGTCAGTGAAATAATTTTCTTGGACTGTTGTTACTCCCACTGTATAGACTAGTTGTCGTCAAAATCCACATCATGCTGAATCTAAAGTTAGAAAGCCCTTCCTCTGGGCCCTCACAGTCACATTACCTATGCAAATGAGCTGTCTTTCCCCACAAGTACCCATTTTATTACTCACTGCTTGTCACTGAAATGGCCCCAACAGGTCTCTAGTCAACAAAATACGACCTCAGAAACAATCACCGCAACTTCTATAGATGCAACCTACCAACCAGGCAGTAGCTTTGCCCACGAACCTGGCTCTACAGCTCTAGGATTTGGTGACTTTCTCTACTAGCCTCCTTATATCCCTTCCAATCTTGGAGACTGTGTTTGTGAAACTTTGCACTTATAGTTCCTTTCCTACTTGCCCAGGAAGCTGACACATGTTGTCTAATGTAAATCTCTCTAGTTTACACTCAGGGAATGTTTACTTAAGGAGTTACTGTGATGGCTTTTCTCATCCACTAGATCTCAACCACCACAACCAGTCTTCCTTCCAGCCAACAATAAATAACAACAGCAGGACATTTTACGCCATAAAGCATCAATAAGATATTTTAATGAGAAAAAAACCAAAACCCCTTAGTCTGACGCTTCTATCCAAAGACACTCAAAAGTAGTTTTTCTCCCTGCCCATCCCCTTCTAACTGCAACTTTATTTTTGACCATGTAATAAAGGCCAATTTTAAGATTTTTTTTGAAAAAAAGTTTAAACCTTTTTTAAAAAGATTAAACAACCAGGCTAGCAAAAAGGTACTCAATACATACTTTCCTTATATCAAACAGGCTAATATTTCAGTACAATATAACTATACAGAATATATACAATACACATATGTTCACAAAGCAAACACTATAGGCTCAGAACAGATTTCAAAAAACATGATATTCACATTGATTACAATAAATCTAAAAATGATTGTAACGTTGAAACGGCACTTAGTTTACAAAAAAGTCACAAAAATATATATATATGTAGTCACCAAGAACTATGGTTCCTGTAAAATACTAATAGCCAGATACTAGTATATAAAATGTGAAGTTCTGACATTGTATACATTTTTAAGAAACAAATAAACAACCAAAAGAACCAAAATCCAAAACCATTTTTGTTATTGTTGAAAGTCAAACATGCCAAGTAACTTAGCTATGGCCACTGTCACCAGATAAAGCCATCCTTGAATGAGATGACAACTGGATACGAAGCTGATGAGTTGGGGACTGGCACAATTCAGAGAGCTGTACTGGTTCTAGGAGAGGGGCAGAAGACATAAAACACCCATCTACATAATTTAATTCACATTCCCCACCCCCATTACCTTCCTTCAGGGGTTTTACAAAATGCCAGTACCCAAAAAGATTCATGATGTTCTAACTGGCAGGGTGAAAAAGCTCCCCCCAAATTTCCCTGATGCCAGGCTATAGGCAAAATATTAAAGCATGCATCAGCTAAACAGAGCAATCAGTCACCCATCCGGAAGACTGTGGCATACAGTTTCCTCCTAGGCTGGTTGCACTAGAAAGTTCTTCAGTTTTTAAACGGAGCCGGATTTCCAAGTTAGCCCTGTAAAACACTGAGCTACAATAGCAGCAAATATTAAATCACATAAACAAAAGCACAATTTTATTTAAACATTCATTTCTGTTACATAAAAACATTTTTTTCCTTCACATCTGTCTCCTTAAACCAAACATGAATTTATTCTATCACTGAATTATGTATGGTCTGTTACCTCAATCTGACTTTCTCATTATGCTGCTCTGGAAAAAGACAATTACTAATCTTGGAAAGTTTAAATTTACTCTTAAAAATGGGAATATGGAAATTTTAATGTTAAAAAAAATCTGTTCTAAAAGCATCTTTCACAAATATATATATTTAAATATTAAAATAGGCTACCTAAGATTTTATAAAATGGCTTTTGAAAAGACAGTAGAGGCACAAACAGCCACATACTATCCTCCAAGTTGGATATAAGGTGCCACAAGGGTGCCCTACAAAGAGGCAGGCAATCTATTATCTGATGCAGTAGGAGGCACCAGTAACAACAGAAAAATTAAATATATTACTGGGAACTTGGATCAAAACCAAATTTTACTCTAATAGGGTCTGTTGATTTTTTTAAAAATACCTTGAAATATAAGCATTAGAAGCCACCACTTTGTACAAGGAAGAAAACGAACAGCTTATGATCTTACTCTTTCCAAATACCTGAAAGATGAAAAGCAGTGCAACTTTCAGAAACTGAATGGACTACTCTCAGTATGAGAGACTTTACATAGCATAGGTCAGCTTGAGAATTAAACTGATAATGAAAGAAATCACTAGAGAAAACACTTATTACCTAATCACAGAAAAGTTTCTCTCTAGAAAACGGGTTTCTAGGACCTGCATGAAATGAGCCCAGCTTCCGCTACTGCCGAGGGAAACGACGTGTGTTAAGAGGAGGTGATGGATCCCCAAAGCGGGGAACAGTCCCCTTCCTCAGCAGTGGGTGGTGTACTTTGGTAACCTGAATGTTGGTACTGAACAGGTACTTTTTAACTTGCTGAATAATAAAATCAGTATTTTAATTGAATGACTACATCTGGATATGGCTAGACTGGCATTTGGGAAAACAAGGACAATTTAAGTTACAACACTGGAGCCCCCTCAAACCATCAAGCAGATATTTTATCTATAAATAATCACAAGTGAGCCCAGGACTTTAAGCTTAATCAGCAAAATAAGTCAATTTAAAAGCGAAAGGCAATGATCAAAGGATCTGATTTTATAAACCAGGCACTTCAAACTGAAATAAAAATTCCAAAAGTTTAAAAACAAATTTTTTTGTTCTCAACCAGTGGTCTAAACTCTTAAGTTCTCTGTAAACTATTATATACACAGGAACCTTGATATTAGTTGGAATTGGCCTGGACCCTATCTATACAAAGGGAGTTCACTTAAGTAGCATAAAAGGCAGTTTCAGTTTTCAGACACTGCCAAGCAGACATTCCAGTAACATCACCTGGCATGTTACCATTTGTAAAATCATTACTTTTCTATCATAAAAATAAAGTAAAAGAAAAGTATGACCAATGATGACACTAGTACTAAGAGTCTTCATCCACAATCCAATAGAGGGTTAATTCCTCATAAATTTAATGATAATAGCTCAATATACGGAAAGGCTAAAATGAAACATCCGAAGTGAACGTTGCTTAGCTGAACCTGGAAACTGGTTCAATTCCAATTTATTGTTTATTCCAAACCATTACTGCTTTTGGCAAATTCATCTTGCTGAGGACTTTCCAAATAAAAATACCCTACGTTATCACATTCTGTGAAGCAAAAATGATATGGAAAAAGAAAAATGGGTATAGGCAAAACAATAACAAATTAAAATTGGATGACTTTAGCTTAAAGCCTGCGGGAGTATGCTCAGCTATAAACATTCCTCATAGACATGTTTACAATAAAGCCTTTTCTAACTGTTCCACTGCTTCAGGGAAAAAAAAACCAAAACTAGTTTCTATACATTCTTCTCTCAGTAGCTTTCAAAATTTAAATATATTATAAATTAAGCATATTTTGTCAATAATTTACAGTAAAAATTCCATTTATTATTTATTACATTTTAGCAACTTTGGGTCTGTTTCTTCCAAAAGCCAATTTTCCTAGGCCACCCCCCCACCCCAAGTTAATATCACTATCTAGAAAATTATTTATCCTTCCTCACTTGGGTGTATATTTCAGAGTTATAACTTCACATTTGCAGATGAGTAAAAAAAAAATAATTGCCACAGGAAAAAGTTTCTAATTATCTTGTTCATTAATTCCTCAAATCTCAAACTCCTTTCAATTAAAATGTTAAACATTTAGGGTTGGTCACTCATGAAATAATAAGAATACGTCTATGTGGTATAATCTGGCTTGGTAGTTAGAATGTAACTGAGTTACCAGTGTAAGAACATTAGATGTGCTGCCTAGTCTATTCATTTGGTAAAATAATTTTAACAAAATGGAAGTCTTTTTTTTGCTGGCTTTTAATACCAAAGGGCACATGTCATAATATGGAACCAAATTACAAATTACTGTAAACCAGAATGGTTGGCTCCATGAGATTATTTAAGCATTTTAGTACTCTGTCTCATTGAACTGATAACTTTAAAAGCTAACAATGTGTAACTAATTACTTGAAATAAAAATTAAGAAGATTAACTTGAAATTCAAATTACAAAAAACCCATTTAAATATTATTTGTGGGTGATAACCTCCATCTGCATCCATTTATAGAAAACTCAAAATGAAAAAAAAAAAAAACAAAAAACAAAACCTACTAATGCCTTTGTTTGCATGCTAGATGCATCCACAGTTAATAGAACACACCTTTAAAACTGCAAACAATGACCTCAGGAGCTGCATGCTGCATCCAGCATCATGGGTAACATCTCTATCCATTTCTAAAGCACATCTCACTTACTTGATAGATAAAAACTGAAAATAAAAGCTTTTCTTATATAAAATGCTTAGTTTTTAAAAAAAAAATTTATCCTGCAGTCTAAAATGTAAGCCCTTTAAATATTACAAAGTTACCCTCTTAGGCCTTAAGAAAGACAGCTATGTTAAATATTCTAAAGTGAAATAATTTAACATTTTGTTATCCTGGTAATTTCTGATGGGTGGGGTATTATAACTGGCTTTCATCTCTTTGCAAAGTTTCCATATGTTCTGGTAAAATTTACACATCCAGGCCTCTCTCTCTTAGATGAATTTTACATACATTTAATAAAATACTATCTACAATTATCCCTTTGATGCTTAGTTTCATAAAACAGAGCCATGGCTAAATATCTTTCAACCACACGTTACCAAAAATGAGGAGCCTCACTGAAAAAGAAAAAACAAGGCCGTTGTTTCATTTTGTTAAATATTAGTTAATTCCTTGTATTGATAAGATCAGGCAGTAGACAACTAACCAGGTATGCGTTTTCACAGTATATTCAAATTTGCCATACAACTTGGAAATCTGTGCAATGAGAATCTATAATTTCCATTTGGGAAAAAACAGCCAGTCTTGGTGATCTTTCACTCCAAGAACCCAGTCAGAAGGCCTTAGAGCTGCCCCAAATGTAGAGGGCTCTCCTAAGACAGAGCGCTCAGGGGAAGGGATGTATACAACCCCAAACAATCCTTACATATAGATTTTTTTTAACCCTATTTCTTTCCTTCCTTTCTTTTTTTAAATAACTCCTGGAACTTAGAACAACAACGATTCCTGGTCATAATTTTCCCTATTCTTTGTCTTAACAATGTAAGATTTTAAAAAATTAACTTTGAGATTTATCTACTGGTAGGCATAACAGTTTTCAAAGAATATATATGATACTAAAAATAAAAACGTCTGCTCTTTCCAGTTGAGATGCGGCAATACTGTAATAAGTGTCCCAGCCATAAGCCTAATAGCAAAGAAGCAGAAATGATGGCTGCCCACCGTAGCCTGTATATGAGCCCATCAAAACCTTGATTTTCCTGAAGCATTAACATGTCATACACCTCTGCGTTTGGGAGCAAAGGCAGAAATGACAGGTTCAGGAGTAAGGTAAGGAGCTGGAAACAAGGACAGTAGAATATGGGAAGAGACAGAATCTTAGCCTAAAAAAATCTTAATGAGTTTACCATACTCTCCCTTCCTTTAAATTTATGGGGAAAAAGATATTAAATACAGAATTAGTCAATTTAAAAAAATGAAACAATTAAATCATATTATAATTAAAAAAATATATATTTTATCAGTAAAGTCTAGCACCTGAACAAAATTAGGTCTTGTGTTTTGACAACTGTTATTTGTTTCTAATCCAATCAGAATCAGGTGCTTTCATAATTACTTAACTTTGGGTATATACATAGAAAAAAAAGTTACTCAAAAGTTCATTATTCATGGACTCAAGAGTATTTAGGACCAAGGTTAGTGATGCTTTAATGGCATCAAATGAAAAATATACCCCAGTCAAGAGCATCATATAAATTTCAACTATAAACCAGCAAGTTGTACTCTAGCAGCAAAAAGGGTGATATTCATTAATTTAAGGTTTTTAGTTTTTCTTCAGTCGTAACAATTCTTACATTTTTTCCCCTAAATAGATTTATGAATCATAGATAATTTTACAGCCTTTCTTTATCTTTTACATTATTGCTTACATTGTATGAATAAGTATAGGAACTGTCTCTAAGAAACTTGGCAATGTCTAAAAATATTTTTGAACAAGGACAATGTATCGCTATCATATGAGATTTTTGTAAACAATCTTAGTTGGGTTAAGAATGTAGCCTTAACAGAAAATTCTTTATTTTGTCCAAAAGAGCACAATAAAAACATCCCCAACAATATATAAACCTATATATAAAATATAGACTATCTCCAATACTTTCCTTTTATATAGTAGCGCATCAGAATACACAAGAGAAAGTATGGTTGATGGAGCAAGAGGAAAACTGATTTGGGCAATTAACTAATTCGCCAGGCATTAAGATTCAAAGACGAGGTAAACATCAATGTTAGTCAGAAAAACAGTATTAAAAAGAGCTCCTATAGACAGCTGGGATTTACATGCTTCCCACTGCATGTCCCACGTCTGGTCACTTCATGCACAGCTGACTATTCTCAATCATGGTTCCTTGCCGTCTTTCATAGAAGAAAGATTATTTGGAGGAGCGAGTGGTACTGTAAAGGTACTGGGGATGTCTATCCCAATACCAATTTTTCACCATGGAAAATTATAATAGAAATGACAAAGCTTTAAAAAGACTAGGTTAGATTTCAGAAGTATTTACCCTAATTAATTTTTAAGAAAGCTTTACCATAAATACTTCCAAAAACAACAGGCTCTACAAAAATGTTGTACAATGTCCTTGAGTGTAGGAGCTAACATCTACTCAGGCCATTTTTCAAGTTCTGTTTAGTAATTTGTTTGTGGTATACCCTTTCCCCTCAGGAAGGCCAATAATCATCTGATTTCTTCTTTATCTAATGCTCTGTTATTAGCCTCCTTTTTACAATGGAAGAAGAAACTGGCATATGTTTTAAGTCTACTGGTTCTCCTTAAGTCTCCTAGTTTCTACTATGTTTCAACACCATATTATCGTATATTTAAAGAACTAATCTCTCAGTCATAAAGAATAAAACATCAGTTGCAAGACTTCCAAAGTAAAACGAAACATTCTTTCCCAAACCCTTCTTTGTTTAAAAAGTTCATTTAAATTTAAAGGTACGAGACCAAGCACAGGCACTTTCCAAAACTAAACAGTGACGCCAAACCACAACATCACTCAATGGTTACAGAAGACGCTCTGATTTCGGGGGGTCGTCTCTGGCTGCCTCAGTACAGGCACTGCTCTTTGGCTGCTCTGGCATTTCATCCTCCTTTTCTGCCAGCCTGCCAAGAGGCCCCAAGGGAAAAGTGCTCTCGCAATTCTGGGTAGAGGAGACCTGCGAAATGACAGGCATTTGAACAGAGGAGTTGCTTTCAAAACCGTGTTCTCCAAGATCATACTGAACAAGGGTCTCTTCTTGCTCCTGGTTTAAGTAGTCCGGTACTAGGAAATCACTAGATAAGAGGCAAAGGATGAAATACGAAGTTAATTTTCAAAACATCAACAGATAAGGTACAGTAAAAAGATGTGATTTTACAAACAAGATTAGGATTTTTCATTTCACCAATCCTCAGATGAAGATTTTTTAATGAAGGTTACAATTTAGGAACGTTTCACCTTGTAAACTTCCTCAAATAAGAACCAAAGCTATCCATCTAAAGTGTATCGACTCTCCCTACCAACAGGTAGATTAATGATCGCTTTCAATGTCACTCTGGACACCTTAACAGCTTTTCCTATTCTATTAGAGGAGTTCCTATATATATAAGGCAATTGCAATTAGCATCCTCACTCAAGCAAAGATTACCTTCATAATTAACGCTTAGTTTTTCTTGGATAACCTAGTTTTGTATTACTTCCTAGATATAAATTAGTTAAGAAGGTAAATCCTTGTGCATAAATGAAGTAGTGAAATGTAAAACAACTTATGTGTACCCTGCTATTGGATTCAGCATATAAAAATAATCAAATATCTTTGAGTCAGAATTTGGCAATGAATGCCGTGAGGATGATTACATTCAGTCCTCAAAAAGTATTACTTAAGTACTGTTCCCCACAGGGAATGTGGGCGGTAAAACACAACAAAAATTTAACAACAGTTGTGACAGGTGAGATCAGAAATGATTTTTAATTTCTTCTTTATATCCTTCTGTTTTCTAAACTGTCTCCAAGTTTCAAGCTTCCTCATTTATAAAGGGACATGCTCAATAGTCACAGTAGTGGCAGAGCTCAAACTAGAAGCTGGGTCTTTATAAATCAGAAAAATAACTCTGTGATAAATTATTAACATTAAAAGCATATAACTCTAAACTGAAAGAAAAAAGGAAAGACTTTATTTGATCTATAACAATCATATCCATTATAGCTGCTGTTGAGGTTTCTCTTTAATATTCTTATTGATAAATGCCTTTTCCTTTATATAGAATTTAGAAAAAATGAGAACTGCTCAAGAATTTTATTAACATCCAAAGAGTCTGAAGTACTCTGATATCCTAAGTATCTATCATCTGACACAATAACTCTCCCAATAAAATTTATTTAAAATCCACTACAGAATTACTTTAACCTTCTATTTTATATATATATACACACATATATATATATAAAGAGGTTATCTAGTTCTGTAGGAAGGAGTTTTAATACCAACTATGAAAATATTTATAATTTTATATACTCAGAAGATTCAGCAAAATTTGATCAGATCAGAAGATCAGAGTATGGATAATGGGAATTTAAAATGAATGTGATTAATCAGCTGGCAACCTGACAGAAAACACGGTAGGCTGCCAGACCCCAAAGCAGGAAAGGAGAGTTTAAAGAGCATTTTCCTGGTTAGGTTTTTGGTGTGCACCTCACCTGCTCTGGAAGTAGTTTGCTAGCTCTGACGCTTCATGGTTCAGACTCCTCAGGTGCACGATTAAATTTCCAGAGTTGGTGAACATGGCGCCACATGTTTTGCACTCGTAAATCCGAGGCTTGCGGATAATGTGCCGGGAAACCCTCATGTGGTGTTTATATTCCCCGAAGGAAGTGAAAGTGGCACTACATATCTGGCACCGGAAACAGCGTTTACCTTCATGCTTTAGGCGATGCATCTTTAGCGAGTAAGCCCTGGTGAACTTTTTCCCACAGCGGTCACACTGAAATGGTTTAATTCCTAAAAAATAAAGAAAACCAAAAAATTACATAAAAACAAAATAAAGCATAAGGTCATAAACCTAACAAATTTCTGAAAATTTCTAAATTTCCGAATAAATTTTCTAACAAATTTTGTAGCAATAGATAATTTGAAAAGACAAAAATTACCTGCAAAAAGAAAAAAAAAGGCAGGCGGGAGGGCAGAAGGTAGGTAATGTATATTCGAGCTGATTTTTGAATACTCTTCTGAATCATCTATTTCAGACTTTAAAACATTTTAACCACAGTATTTAAACAGAACCCAAATCTCCATGTAATAGCATTTATTATTTTATTCCATTAAAGTAGTGAGGTTTACACTGAAAAGATGTAAAATGATCAGTATCTACTCTCCATTCCCTATCTCAGAGAGAAATGAGGAAAAAAAGGGAAAATTTTAACATCTCTGAACATAAAGATCATGATAGACCCAGCATCTGATAAACTGGTTTTTTTTAGGGTAGGAAAAATACGCAGAAATTAGTAAGTGAATTATAAAGTAATATTAACGGTCTCCAATTCATTATCACAGTTTTAGCAAAAAATAAAACAAAAATATCCTTCAAAACAAAAGCTGTCAATTTAACAAAGTCATAAGGAATTAGCGTTAGGACAAGGATTATTAGACTGATCTACAGAAGAGGAATGCATACAGTTTAAATTTTACCTGTAGGAGTTTTGTTGCCTTTTACATGATCACTGAACTTAAGTTTCAAATCTGTTGTACGTATCATTTATCTAAAATCTCTCTTATATTAAAAAAAAAAAAACCCACTACAATCAGGGCACAGAGAAATTTCAGATTACAGAATTAACCCACGATTAAATTCTTAAAAACTTCTTATTTGGCAATAATTTCAAAATTACAGAAAACCTACAAGAAAAATACTACAAAGAACACCCATGTACGTATACCCTTTTCACCCCATATGCTTTACCATCTAGGCTTATGCTTTTTCTCTCATATATATTCACCACTTAACGTATCTATTTACATCTTACACAAACACACACACACACCTCTATTAGTTTTAATCAGAAACTTATGTGGCAAATGTATTCAGCAAATAACTTTCAGACACTGTACCATTTCAGTAACAGACCTAGCTAATCTGTTCTCATTTGACTTCCCAGAGATTCTTTTTAAATCAAAGTACCAGTTTTCTATTTTAACTAGATTCCAAAATAAAATGTCTCCAAGAGCTCATTTATGCAATGATAGGAAAGATGATATTACCTGAGTGGATGAGCATGTGCTGTTTTAGGTTCTGAATGCGGGTGAACCGCACCCCACAAGTTGGACACTGAAAAGGTCTATCTGGACCATTTGGACTTGGTCGCTCTGTACTGCTGGTAGAAGGAGCAATGTAGAGTTGGTAGGGATACTGAACATTTTCCAATCTAAAAAGACAAACCAAAGAAGGCAACCAGGCTCTGACTTTAAAGCTGAATAAACATTTCTGTAGGTCAACTTTAGACGAAAAAAAGGAAAACTGATTTAAAGACTTTGTGAAAGAGTGTAACTGTTAGGTACATTTCACTTAAAACATGAAGACCAATGTCCAGCTTCTTAGGTTAAACATATTCTTTGGTCTTATGTCAGCATCTTAGACGTAAGACCACAGAATATATCAAACGATTTTACCTTAGACAGCCTTAGATAATCTCTCTGATCCTTTCTGTTCTGCTTTAATTTAGGTCTTCATCAATGCAAGCCTGAATTAATAACTCCCTCTCTAGCACCACACCTCACTAATTTCCTTCTCACGGTATTAAGCGATTTCTCTGATTAAATCCCATGGCTGCTTCAAATCCTGCGATAGCTCACCTTTATCTTCAGAATAAAGCTTAAACCCCTTTGCAGCACATACAAGAGATCTCTTGATCTGGGCTGTTTACCTTTCCAGCCTTATTCTGTCAAACTCCCAAACAGATCCTATTCCAATTAGTTCCTCCAATGTGGCATAATCTCTGCCAATGCTGTGCATGTACATTTAACTTCCTCTACTTGCCTATCTTCTTTACCTCGATAATACCTACTCATTTTTTGAAATGTAACGAAGTCACACCTCCTGCAGGAAGTGGCTCAGGTAGGTACTTTCCTATGCGGAGTAACAGAACCCTCTGCTTTACTTATACTTGTCAATCTTCAACCTCTCTTCCTTCCCCAAAATAGAGTGACCTCCTTGAGGGCAAGGACTACTCATTTCATCTCTATATTCCCATCACTTTCAAACACTATCTAGTACAGACAATTTGATTAATGTTTGAAATTAAGGAAACCCAGGCACATTTCTGCTTTACAAGGGTCAGGTATTCAATTACAATAAACTTTGTTTGAGTCCTCTGAATCTTTCAAAGTTTTCAACAGACACAGTTTCTAGGTATGTCTTGGATTCTCTATGAGGACTTGTTCAGTCATTCACTGGAGTCTATATTCAGTGGTGGGAGACATGATAATCAAGATACTAGAGCAGAGAATTAAAATAGGGTGATGCAATAGTGATTGGGTGCTGCTTTAGACTGGAGGTCAGGAAAGGCTGAGAACTGACACTTAGGACTGTGACCTGAAAGTCAAGAAGGAGCCAACAATGTGAAACTTAGTGGGAAGGCATTTCAGGTAGGGTAAAGGTCCTGAAGCAGCAGAAATGGCCCTGACAGGAACAAATCTGGAATATTCTCCACAACTGGAAGGTCAGCGTGGCTAGAATATAATACGCAAGAAGGAGAATGGCTGAAAGGGAGTCAAGCAGAAGTCACATCATATGGGGCTTTTAAAAGGCATAGCAAGGAGTTTAATTTTTAAGTACGAAAGGAATCTACTGAAGAATTTTAAGCATCCAGTGCTTCAAACAGTGACATACTCTGACTTTTATTAGGAACAGCATCATCACCATTTTGGCTGCTGTGTGGAGAATGGATTGGAGAAGAAGAATGAAATCTGGTCAGTTTGAAGGCTCTTGCAATAGTCAAGACAAAAAACGGTGGTGACGTGGACTAGGGCAGTTGTAGTAGAGATGGAGGAAAAACGGACTGGGGATGTGTGGAGCTGACAACACTTGCTGAAGCATTAAATACAGGAAGGGAGAATGGGGGAGTGCCAAGGGAAAGACGGATCAATTCCCAGAAATTCTGCTTGAGAAATTGGGTGGATAATGATGCTATTTACTGAAATGGGAAAGACTGGATGAGTAGGATTTGGAAGGTGACTTAGAAATCAAGAGTCCTGTTTTGGCCATGTTAAGTGTCAAACGCCCCTTGTCTATGTGGAAATACCAAGGAGGGAGTGCCAGTGCTGGAGATAATGACGTGGATTCCCAAGTACGGGTGTACAGACCAGGGGTCAGCAAAGATGTCCTGTAGCAGGCTAGACAGTAAATATTTTTGGTTTTGCGGGTCATACAGTCTCTGTTGCAACTACTGAACTCTGCCAATGTAGTGCAAAAGCACTCACAGATAATAAATAAATGAGCATGGCTGTGTTCTAATAAAACGATTTACAAACAGGTGGTGGGCTGGGACTGGCCTGTGGCTTGTAGTCTGCTGACCCCTGATAGAGACACTATTTAAAGCAACAGAACTCAGTAGTTTTGGAGATGCCAAAAAAAACTTGTATAGGCAGTCTAATTTATAATGTGATGCTACCTAACGATGCTGAAAGATATACTTTAGTGGGGTCCCAATAAACAAACTTATTTACTTCCCAGATAAAATCTTGAACTTAGAGTTGTAAGCACAACCCTTACAAGGAAACTACATACTATGTTAGTACTAACCGATCGTCATCATCTGCATGGGCATTCGTGCTAGAAGTGCTCTGAAGTGTAGGCAGCCCCTCGGTGACACCTTCATCTACTGAGCCTGTGAATACAAGAACGAGGACATCTGTCAATACTTTGGTGTAAATAAAGGCCAAGATATGAACTGCAAAATGCATCTCCATGCCTCTAACACATTCTATCTAAATGTATACATCCTGAATTATTAATCAAAAGTATTAACACTGTATTTTAGTCTTTTCCTTTGTGATTTAAAAAGAAATCATATGTAAGACAATAGTCTTGTATTACTAGTTAAATTCTTTTAGAAATACTTCTTTGATACGAATTTCAGAAAACAAGCAGAGTAATTCAATTGCAACCTGGACAAAAATTCACATAAAATTAAATAATATAGCAACTTTTTAAGGAAGCGTAGCAATTTTTATTTTTAAAACTTGTTTTATTGCAAAATATAATACACAACGTTTACGCAGTTTAAAAGAGTTATAAAGCAAATACCTGTGCAACCTCCACACAGGTCAGGAAAGAGAACGCTGCCACCATCTTAGAAGTCCCATTTACCCTTTCCTGATCACGAGCCCCTCCCTTCCTCTAAGAGGTAACTATGACCCTATCTTTTATGGTTATCATTTTCTTCAAAAATAGCTTTATCTAAAATACACAGACCCCTAAGCCAGGGTATGGTTTTTGTTGGGACACAGCTGAGCACTGTCTAGGGCTGCAGTGACTACAACTGCACCACTGAGCAGCTGTGGCTGCAACAGAGACCACACGGCCACTGAGCCTGAAGTCTATCTGGCCCTTTAAAGTTTGCTGACCTTGCCAAACACAAGCTTACTGTTGTCTGGTTTTAAACTTTATTTAAACTGAGTTATGCTGTATGTATTCTTGTGTCTTGCTTCACCACTGTGGACTCATCCATGCTGTTACATGTAGCTGCAGTTTGCTCATTTCACTGTTGTATAATAGTCACAATTTATCCATTTTACTCTTGGTGGACATTTGTTTTTAGTTTCAGGCTATTATGAACAATGCTGCTGTATATATTCTCGTACAAGTAACTTAGGAGTGGAACTGCTAGGTCATAGGATACGCAATTCTTCAACTTTACTAGAAAATACTATTTTCAGAAGTGATTGTACTACATTTATAATACCACCAGCAGTTTAATAATTGTGTTGCTTCGCATGCTCAGAAATGCCTGGTATTGTCGGATTTAAAATTTTTTGCCAGTCTGGTGAGTGTGCAATATTTCACCGTGGTATTTAATTTCCCTTATTACTCAAGTTCAGCACCTTTGCATGTATTTATTGAACATCCTCTTTTATGAAATGCTTGTTCAAGTCTTTTGCTATTAGGTTGTCTGCCTTTCCATTTTAAGAGTTCTTTTCATATCCATGTTACAAACTTATCTTTCGTCCCTTTTTATGGTTTCTTTTTGATAACCACAAGTTTCAAAATTTAAGTTACTAATCTTTTCCACTATGGTTACTAATTTTTGGTCTTCTTTGTAAAATATTTCCATATCCTAAATTATCTTATGAAAGATTTATGTTTTGCCTTTTACATTTAGGCCTTTCTTTAATCCATCTGGAACTGATTCTATGACCCAGTAAATCCAACACATTTACTGAAATGCCTTCTCTCCTCTGCTCTGCAGTGTCACCTGTTATATATCAAGTGAACATAAATGCACAGGTCTGTTTCCAGACCATCAGTTCCATCTGTTTGTCTGTCCTCACATGAATACTATGGCTTTATAATAAATCCTGCTATCAAGCAGAGCAAGTCCTCTTACCTCGTTCATTTGCTTCATGAGCATCTTGGCTATTCCTGGTCCTCTGTGTTTCTGTATACATTTTACAGTCACCTTGTTGAATATAAGTGATAATAATCATTCAGCTTCCCTTCTAGCTAGGAAATTATACAATGTGTTTCTATTCTTTTTTATTGGTTACCTTAGAAAATATAATGCACACAGTTATCAAAGTCTAAAGTTAATGAAAACCTTTACTTCCTCCTTGATAAGGATACCTTAGAATGTTTTCACTTCATTTCCCACCCACTCCCATCCTGCAACGTAGAAATTACTGCTGTCTGGTATTTTACTTCTTTTGTTTTGATTAAACTCCACTAGGCATTACTTTTTTACATAAGCAATGCCCATTTACATTTACCTCTTTCTTTGCTCTTCATTCCTTCTTGTGATGTTAGACCTTTCACCTGTGCTCACTTCTGCCTTAATTCCACCCTTAAGAATTTTCTTTAGCAATGACTTGCTGATGATGAATTCCGTTTCTGTCTGGAAATATCTTTTACCTTCTTGAAAGATATTTTCAGTGTATATAGAAATCTATACGGATGGTTTCTCCCCCCCAACGCACTGAGGATAGCATTACGCCGTTATTAACAAGTCAGATATTCTTTTGGAGGTAATCTACCATTTTTCTCTGGCTGCTTTTTTGTTTTTTAAAATTTTCTCTACGTGTCTAGATTTGTGTTTCTTTGCTGGTCTCTAATCTGTGAACTGGTGTCTTTCACCAGTTCTGGAAAATCCTCATTCTCTCTTCTTCTAGGACTTCCATAAAACGTATAATGGATTTCTCACTGTATCTTCCACAACTCTTATTCTCTCCTCCAATGTAATCTCCACCATTGTGTCTTTCTCTCTGCAACATTCTGGTAATTTCTTCTTATTTACCTCCTGATTCACCAGTTCTCTCAAGTCCAATCTGCTGCCAAAATGTTCATAGTCTTTAAAATTTTGATTACTCCCTTTTTTTATTTCTAGAGTTTTTTTTTCTCAAATCTGCTATGTGACTTTTTACATTTTTCTGTTCTCTGCAATTATTGTTCAAACTTCTTTACTTCTTTAAACATAGTAAGCATATTTGTTTTGTATCTGTGTCTGAAAACTATTGCCAATTGGTTTCTGCTACCTGTTGTCTTTTCTCCCTTGCTGGTTCTCACTTGGCTTTGTTTCCTTGTATCCTCTAGTTATTTTTGACAGTGGTTACTGCCCTGAAACATTTATTTGCAGGGGATATGCTGAGGCTAGGATGAATATACACCCTTCCAGAGATTTATGTTTGCCTTTGCTGGGTTCCTGCAGGAACACTACTAGACAGGGACCACCCTAAACCCAGTGTACAGTTTGAGATTCCTTAGCCTCTCCACGCAAGGTCAAAACAGGACAGCAATCTACAGGAGGGCTGGTCTGTGGCTACCACCTCTCACGGATGTGTCTTCCCCCTTTTCTTCGTCTGGGCTGCCTACGGCCACGACAGTTTTCTACAGCCCCCTGAAGTCTAGAGGAAGGGGAACAGGTTGAGCTCTGGTGCACCCTGACCCTGGTGGTACAGCCTTTCAGAGTCCCTACTTAATGTGCGGAGCAACTTCTCTAAGCTGTCACAACTCTGACACGCCCTGGGCCTTGCCTGCATTCCCTTCACTCTTTGAGTTGATGAACCAAAGTCCAAGCTCTATTTTGGTAAATGTTCTAAAGGCAAAGCTGGTTTTAGTTCTCTGATAAGCTACTTACCTCTCTGGGTTTGGGCAGCCTCCCTCAATTTAACCTGACAGCTCCTACTATCTTTTCAGCATTTTACATATTTTTAAGGTGATTTTTTTTTTTTTAATCCAGAATTTTTGCTGGGTTTAATGGGGGGATAGAGCCAAACAACCTAGGTTGTTCTCATCAAGTACTGAAATTTGCCAATTAAGCTGTGTTGCACCAAATGAATAAAGCTGAGCCTGTAAAGTCTAGTCCATTTAACAGCACACAAGCTTTTGGTTACAATATTTTAATGAAAGTTAAAAGTACTAATTTTAACTGTATAACAGTTCGTACAACACATTTAATAAATATCAACTGTTGATAGACACATAGGATGAAATTTCCTCCTGATGAAAATTTATAGACTACTTCAGTTTTCTCCTTTGGAACACTTAAATTAGCTGACATTAGAAAACAAACGAAATTTCCACATAAGTAAAATTTCCACAAATGAATCTAGTATTTTTTCAAGGCATACAACTTATTTAATAATTTGTGCTGAAAAATTTGTGACAGGGTTACATTTTGCCATGACTTTTAAAATAAAGAATACTATATATAATTTATTTTTTTGTTTCTTGGTGACTCACAGCAATCAAGAACATCAATTATTATATCAACCAACACCAAACTCATTGGCATTAAGTTGATTCCGACTCATACAGACCCTATAAGACAGAGTAGAACTGCCCCACAGGGTCTCCAAGGCTGCAAATTTTTACCAAAGCAGGCTGCCACATCTTTCTCTTGTGGAGCGGCTCGTGGGCTCGAACCACTGACCTTTTGGTTAGTGGCAGAGCACTTTAACCACTATGCCATCAGGGCTCTTTTATTATACTATGTTCTAATATACTCAGAAGTTTTTTGAAAGTAGACAGAACTACATGTACTTATAATCATCTCCAACCACACCCCCTTTCTTCCTTGCCCCGCCCCCCATCCCATCCCTACTGGTGTGTTTAGCATTTCTGTCCATGTATTTTCTAATGCTTTCCCCCTGTGCCTACGTATCCAACTGGTTTGTTGTTATTAAACCAGATGTGGGATGGGAACCAGATAAAGCTGTATTTTGTTTAAGAGATAACTGCTCACTTGTCAGTATCTTTCTATTCTCACTTTCTTTTGAAAAGAAAAGGAAATAAACACTAACATTTTAATCTGTCATAGAATAAAAACCAGAAAAATCCTAATATCTGGACTTGGTCACCATGACTGTAGTGTATTCTGAACTTCTGATTCAGAGAGCAGACAATATTCAAACTTATAGGCAAAAGCTTGCGAAAGAGGCCTGGAGGTGTGATTAGTGTGATTAGGCCACGAAGATTCATCTAACTGACACCTGCTCTTCACAGTCAGGCAGCCAGGGTTCCACGCCTAGGAGGTGCGGCAGAAACAAAAACCATTCTGTCTTGGATTGATTCCAGTCAAAGAGAAATGAAGTCCTGATACATGCTACAACATGGATACACCTTGAAAACATTATGCAAAGTGAAATAAGTCAGTCACAAAGGAGCAATACTGTA